CACACACACACACACACACACACACACACACACACACACACACACACACACACACACACACACACACACACACACGCGTAGTTTCTGCACAACTCTATTTGTTTTGTTATTATTGGAATGTGAACATGTAAGAGACATAGGAAGTAAAACCACATTCTAAGGTGTTTTCCTCTGTTCAAAGACCACAGTACAAGATTTAACTGAAACTAGGAATTTGTGCTGCTCAGATAAAGAACCACTCCTTGCATGTCAGAAATAACCAGTTTTGGGACTGGTTTCTGCAAAAGGTGTAAAAGATGGGGCTGTGTCCCCAGACTCAACTTGTATTGTTGTACGCATGTCGACTCTCATTTTATTGCAATAAAATTACGCAGAGACCATTGAAGAAATTTTTTGATCATGTATTTCTGCACTTTGTTTGAAAGACATAGAAAACTTTTTTCCAAGACATTTAACGTTTAACTAAAGGAAAGGAATATGAAACATCTTGAGAATAAATCGTTACAAAATGTTGCAAAACACGTTGGTTGTTCTCAGTCAACTGCGTCTAAAATCTGAACTGGGAAGACTGTAAAAGGAAAACATTCTAGTTCACCAAGGAAGACATCAAAGTGTCAAGATAGAAAGCCTAAACTGGAGTCAATATGGCTGCATTGTAAAAAAAAATCTTATAAAAAATGGGGTTTACATACATAAGTCAAAAGTCATTATTAATAATGAAACAGAAAAGAAAATGTGACAATGGGCTGAGAAGCCCTGTGGATGACAGGATCATGTCAGGTAAAATGCAATGGAGACAGCAGTCATTATACTGTCAATAAAAGCCAAAGTCAACGTTGAAAATGTTTCTTTTTCCATCAGTTGGAAAAAAAATTGGTGGTGATGATTTTATTTTTCATGATGATGACCAAAATAAGACAACACAAGGATGAACACATGCTTCTTGCCAAAAGACGAAGAATTTAAAAACTTTCCTAAATCCAGATGAAAATCACCATGACAAGGCTCCAAGCTGCAGAACTGATCTGACAACAGCAATAAGAGGGAGGCAGGTTGATGAGGGGTTCTGCTTGTCATTAGTTAGATTCACGCTGTTAGAAAAGACAGATAATGTGACAAATTACTAACAAAGCAAAGACGTTCTTATGATTCCATCATTTTCTTCTTCAATTTGAGTGATTCCAACCCTTTTTCCTTTACCAAAAGAGCAACTGTGACTGACTCAGTGTTTTATCTTTTCTATCTTTCTTCATGTTTCTTAATGTGGGAAGCTTGGAATAAAAAAAAAATCAATAAATAAATGGTGGCATCTCTGATTTATTTTATATACAAAAATAAACTATTGATAGAACATCCAATAATTGGTGAATTAGTCATGTTGTCTTATTTTGCTCAAATAATCTGCGCTCCTCTGACGGTTTGTTTCTCTGACAGAAAGAGGAGGTCACCGACTGGCGTAAAAACGTGGAGGCCATGTCCGGCATGGAGGGCCGGAAGAAACTGTTTGATGCTTCTGGCAACTAAAAAAAAAAGTTTCTGACATTTGCTTGATTTCCTGTCTTTGTTGCATGCATGTGTGCAAAAATAAACATTTCAGTATTTTAGAAACATTTTTGGGGATAAATGTTGAGTAATATTTGCCAATATTTGCTGGAGAATTGTGCTGCCATGCCAAGTAGAGGGCAGCCTAAATCCTAAAAATCAAGTGAGAGTTTTAGATCTTTGTAAAAATGTGGTGTCTTCACAAAATGTACAATTAAAGATGGTAGATTTAAAAAGATGATTGCTGTCTGTTAATATTTTGCATTCGCCTTTGTTTTATGGATTCACTCTCATTACAAGGACATTTTACACTGTTGATTTACTGTTTTTGTAAATTGATTGATTTAATCTTGACAAAGTTACCAAACTGACATTAAAAGGATCATTTGTTACAAATCACATTCTGACACAAACTCTTCTGTGCTTAGTTTTTGTTCATTTTTAGCCATGCCAAATGTTAATGTTTGATTACTATCAATTTTAAACCCCAATCTTAGCTTAAAAAAATCATAGACCCACAGACTGAAGGCTACTTTGAGTGAAAACATGTGAAAAGATCCCCTGTAATCAGTATTATAAACTACTATATTTAAGGTTTTAACAGCATTAAGAACATATGGTTAAATCACAATGCACAGTTACTGCATTGACTCACTGTTTCCAATGTTCAGTGTTATCACTTAATTATCCAGATCAGCACTAAAATAAAGTTACTTCATTAAATCTGATGCTGAAAATTATTAGTTGGGTTAGTTTACTTAATACTTTAGAACTAAGGCCCCACTCCTAGTTGGGATTGACATAAATTTGGTATCTTCCAAAAGCGCTGCACTCATAAAGCCTCAACTGCATTAGAACTACAAAGACCAGACTACAAAACAGCCTAGCTAACCCCCTACTGTGCGCGCGGCCAACCCAGCGCCGGTCGACGCTGCAACTCCTAATATGGGCACAACACACCAAGAGTTACCGCCTACATGTAAAATACGCCTTTTCTATTGGTCGAGCCTTACGTCGGTCGTGCACGTTCTGATAGGATGTTGCTGTGGCTTGCAGAGAACTGTGAACGAGCCGTAACTTCCACATTCATACCGGATTTTTAATCCCACAGCGGGTAAGAATATTTATATAATCTTTTTTTTTTTTTAAAATATCCTAATTATTTCCCGGTTGCGTTCAAGAAATGCTCGTAGCTCTGGCTTTCCTCTGCTATTAGGAGCGGCTGTGAGTGTGACATCAAAAGTCGGTCACACCCCTCGTTATCATTATGGGTTAGCTTATTATAATCCAGTAATATGTTTAGCTGGTTTTTGCTGTGATGCTAATTGCTTTAGGATGTAATAAGACCGAGTTTAGACATAATATGAGTTCAAAAGTAATAAAGATGAGTCCAGACGCTGATGAGGACAAGTGTAGATGTGACCTCCATCAGCAGGGCTTTTTTAAGACAACCTCTGACCTTTTTGCTAAGCTGCTTCATAGAAATCTCTACTCCTGGCTTCAGAAAGCCACGCCCCTTCAGACTTGTGTTAAAAACCTTGATTTTCACTAACCACGTCATGTTCATTCTGTTGTATGTGTGTAGTTTTTTTTTCTGCTGCTAGTTCTTCGGATGTCCAAGTACAAACTCGTTCTTCTGAGGCATGGCGAGGGGGCCTGGAACAAGGAGAACCGGTTCTGCAGCTGGGTGGACCAGAAGCTGAGCGCAGATGGGGTGAAGGAGGCCCAGGACTGCGGCCGGCTCCTGAAGGAGCAGGGTTACAGGTTTGACATTGTGTTCACCTCCATCCTGAGCCGCTCCATCCAGACGGCGTGGCTGGTCCTGGAGGCTATGGGCCAGGAGTGGGTCCCCGTCGTCAAGTCGTGGAGGCTTAACGAACGCCACTACGGAGCCCTGATCGGACTCAACCGGGCAGAGATGGCTCTGCAGCACGGCGAGGAGAAGGTGAAGCTGTGGCGAAGGAGCTTCGACGTCACTCCGCCCCCGATCGACGAGTCCCACCCGTACTACCTGGAAATCTACAACGACCGCAGGTATACCACTTGTGACGTGCCAAAGGAGAACCTTCCCCGAGCTGAGAGCCTGAAGGAGGTTCTGGAAAGGCTGCTGCCGTACTGGAACAGCACTGTGGTCCCAGAAATAAAGGAAGGGAAGACCGTGCTCGTTTCAGCTCATGGGAACAGCTGCAGGGCCCTGCTGAAACACCTGGAAGGTACGTGACTCGGAGCTCAGTTGGGAGAATCACAGCTCGTTCAGCTGAAATCAGCAGCCGCGTTTCTTCTTTACAGGCTGCTTTTCCCTAGTGATCAGTGAGTGAACGAGGAAAGACTTTGCAGTGTTTCAGTTCCAGAAATGGAAGGTTGAACTTGTGGGAAAAGGCCAGTGAGTTTATGTTACGTTTGGCTGTGGAAATGAGATCCACACTGACCTTTCATCACACTTGTACATCAAACCCCAGAATCCTGACACAGTACTTGCTGTATCAAACAAACAAATCACCCTTTCAAAAACTCCAAGTGAAAAGCATAAAATTGTTAAACATGCTGAAATCTAAGCAGTCAAAATGTCTGTATTTTGCAGCTCATCTGCTGTGTTTAATCAATATATTCTGTCTTGTCTGACAGTATGTAATTAGAAGGATTTATGAGGTTTAACTTAAAATTTCTTATAGTTTTTCTAAATAACTTGGTGTTAAAATGCTATGTTCTGATCATGGTTCGCAGGAAGTTGAACTAAAACTGACAATCAAGCCTATTTTTCATGAACTTAGTTGCTTTAACTCCCCCAACTTGTGTAGGAAGAAAGTAAGAAATACATTTTCATAACAAGATTGCCATTTAAACAATAATACCTTTTTGTAGGGAGCTATTTGAATTATCTCAGTTTACCTTAAAGATTCATGTGAATGTTATTTTATTACCCTTTAAATGGTTGTTAGTTCTACATTAGTTATTCCAGCAGACATATTAGAAAATACATGTTGGAAGTTCAAATAACCATAACAATAACAATGTAATGCAACAATTGTGGTTATATTTAAGAATTATACAATAATGTTCACATAAAACACAAACCTTGGTCTTCACCCAGCTCAGACTAGCTGTTAGTTTGTTAATCCAGTCAGAAATAAACTCATTTTACCAAAATGAGGCTTTTTAAAGAAATATTTTCAACAGGTAACAACTAATCTTTCTACAAAACTTCACTTCAGACATAAATAAATAAATAAATCATCTGACATATTGCTTATTCTTACTTTATTGTTGAACACTTTTCAAGGTAAATCCCCAAATCTGTTTGAGTCAACAAATTTATTTTCCTCACCCACCGTGTTCTTAACTTTACCAAGCTGTACTCCTGCCTCAGTGAGTGTGTTGGTGTCTGGCAGGGCCTTTTTTTCTTAAATACTCATTTATGCATTTAAGAGTCATTTTCAATGACTGACAGCAGTTTACTTAAATAAAGGTGATGCAGATCTTACAACAACTTGTCACAAGAGCTTGGAGATATGACTTATAAATGCATCAGCGTTTCGTATCAATTGATAGGTATTTTGTTGAACCAGGAGAAACCTTCCCTATTTTATCCACAATTTCCTCTCAGGCTGTTCACTCATTTTCTCTTTTCACTCCAACTAGTTTTTTTTTCTTTAGCTGTTATGAGTCACAGTTTATACTGGTCACGTGTCGCTCATGATATATATATAGTTATTGAATTATTGACCAGCCCTACTTGTAACAGAGCTGAACCTAACATAACCTCTTCTTTCAACAGGCGTGTCAGACGAGGATATAGCCAACGTGACTTTGCCCACAGGGATCCCTGTGCTGCTTGAACTGGATGAAAACCTCCGGCCCGTAAAACCTCGGCAGCTCCTGGGAGACCAGGCTAAGATTCAGGCTGCCATTAAAAAGGTGGAAGACCAGGGAAAAGCTAAACCGTCTACTTGAATACATCGAACTGTTTATAAGACTGAACACGGCACTGCTCTGCTTGACTTGAAGAAGCTGTTAGACGGTGGTTGGTGATAACCACAGTGGACTGGTGTGTTATGTTTAAATGATAGGACTAGGTGTTTTGTGGAGCAGAGAGATCGGACAGGTTCTCTTGAGACCAGGGAAGAGTTGTACCACGTTACAACACAGCACTGACCTGTGACCTCGCTTTTATTTAAGTGAATTACTCCTGCTTCCTGCTTGAAATGTTGCCTCTTTATATTATTTATTCACTCATGAACTTGACTGATTTTTAGTAAAGTTATAAAGCTAAGAAATGTTTCTTAGCCCCTTTTTCCAAAGTATTTGTGTTTGTTCATCAATTTTATTATTTATTTAGATATTTAAACACAACTTTAGATTTAATTCTACTCCTTGTTTTACAACTTATTTTGGATTCTCAGGTTTTTATTTTATCAATAGTTAATAAGACTTAGCTCAAGTAAACTGTGACCCTGATGTGTGGTTTATAGCGGTGCAATAACTCCAAATGAACTGAGTGTGAAACTCAGTGGCTTACAAACACTTTGGCACATTAACCAGCTTATGTTCTGCACATGAAGTGGGAAGAATAAAAATAATGCTAATCAAATGACCCTAAAGAAAAAAAAAACCAGCTACCTTCCAGGTGGCTGATGCTAGCACAGATTTTATTTTCTAACACTGATGTGTTTTTTTTATGTGAAGCTGTGGTTAAGACACGTTACAACCTGTAAGAGTTCTGGCAGATGTGTTTATTTTATGTTGTCTTCAGGTTTGTTTGTTTCTTGTGTCGTGTGCTTCATGTTGTTTCACATAACTGTTGAGCTGTACACTGGTTTGTTTGGTCAATAAAGGAAACAGACAAGTCAAGGATATTTAAAGGTAGAAAACACTGTTTTTCATTTCATATTCCCCACCTAGTGGTGGAGCCAGACATTTTTAACTCAGGGGTGGCCAGACGGGGACCACTACTCACACAGGGGTGGCCAGACGGGGACCACTACTCACACAGGGGTGGCAAGGAAAATTACACAAAATTTTACTTTAAAGTTTCTGCAGATCTTTGTGTTCTTGTCATTTCGTTATGTCCTTATACAGTACCTTATAAACATGGACATCAGAACCATTTTAAAAGTGGGGGACACACTGCTGGGGGGTCTGGGGGTCCTCCCCCAGAATATTTTGAACAAAATAGATGCCATTTTACCAGGTTGTTGAACATACTTTTACCTACATTAAACACTTGATTTAATAATTATTTCACAGACAGATTATTCATTAAACTAGTTCCATCATCCTGTTTTAAACTCTCTGCTATGGCTGAGATAAGATAAATTAATGTGACACAATTCATCATATCTAATGACTTTAGGGGTGCCTTTTACTTTTATATTGTTTTTGATTTATTTTTAATTGTAACTCGTGTCATTGTTCCAAATAATTATGACCTTCAACTGCATATTTAAAACTGATATTAATAACTTTACCCAATGAACAGGTGCAACATTGATAAGAACCAACAGTGAATTTAAAGGGGCATTTCACTTTTTCTGATTTAGTGATAGGTCTACTCCTAACCAAAAGGGACAGAGCAACATGCAGCCTTCAGAACATAAAATGACACTGTTTTGGTGACAAATAAATAAATAAATAAATAAAATTGTTACCATAAGTCAGATTACATAGGCATATGTTCTGTATATAAAGAAAACAATCACTTCTTTGTCACTTCTTTGAGCTTGGTAATGTTTCAAACCGTTGAACACTGCCACCAACTGTTCAGGAGGATTGTTACACCCCTAAAGGTTGTTTCACTGTGGAAGGGGTGTGTACAGCAAGTTGGCCAAATATTTGTTTGTGGTGGCCATGGCCACCCCCTGGCTCCGCCCCTGATCCCTCCCCCAATTTTTAACTGTTTAGGGTTTGCTCAATGAAATTAAAAAGAAAACCTTCCAGTTTTGATTAAAATTTTGATTGAGATGTGTTTTTTCTGCTTTATTTAGATTTTATTTGAACAGATTTGTAATTATTTTACAACAATGACATGTCTGTGATGCACAGTCCCAGACTGGGAGAACCTTTAGACTCCATGCAGAACAGAACCCAAGACTTTCTTGCTGTGTGACCCATCTGTTACCCATGGAGGCAAATGAGAAAACACAATCATGGTTGTTTTGGGTGCGCCGATTGCAGTTTTCTGGTCGACCAAGTCTGACCTGCTGATTCCAATTCTGGCCAATACCAAGTTTTTAAAACTAACACTGTCAGGTGTTATAAGCTCTTAAAACACCTTCAATGTTCCAATTTTATTTACTGAAAAACACTGAATACCTTTGAAACAACACAACTTGTTTGAACTGGACATGAGGTAGTGCCCACAGCAGAGCAAAAGGAGGCAGTGTCTGATTTTCAGACCTTTGTGGAGGTAGATGAGAAGCCCGGATCTTATTGAAGCATCAGCCCATCTCTGATCTCACAACGTTATGGAAACTGCTGCCAGTAAATTGGATGGCCAATTCATTGGTGCACCCCTAGTTTTAATAGTTTGTGTTTGCATGGAGAACACTAGAAACAACTTGAATACATTAAATATATTCAGAGTTTTTTTCTATAATATCTTTAATTTATTTGAACCCAGATGAGACACAAAAATCTGCAATCTTTCTGTTTCCTTTTTATGTTACAACATGAACTTGTGCTGACATAGAGTCTTCACACACAGACTTCATTTTAACAAACGTGCAGATACACCATTAGTAAAACAAGTATGACCGCAGATTATAAGTCATCCAGATTACTCATTTTATGCAGTGACTACGGTGCAGACCGTGTTGTATAAAGTACCACAAACTGATATAGCGGGTAAAATAAGTATTGAACACATCAACATTTTTCTCAGTAAATATATATTACTAGAGGTGCTAATGACATGAAATATTCACCAGATATCGGTAACAACACAAGTGATCCAGAAATGAAGTTATTTGTTATAATGTGGAATGGCACAGGGAAAAAGTATTGAACACACTTACTGAAATTTATCTAAGACTTTGTACAAAAGCCTTTGTTGTCAATGACAGCTTCAAGACGCCTCCTGTATGGAGAAACTAGTGGCATGCATTGCTCAGGTGTGATTTTGGCC